AACACATTGCCATCTATAGTAAGGTAATATTATACAGTAGGAAATGTTAACACACTATGTTTTTGTTTTTCTGAATGAAAGTTACTTTCTCAAATGTTTACATTTAATTGTTATCTCAATGACTTCTTATGATTTCAAAATTTAATAGACACTATAAAATTATTAATGACTTACTTAACAAGTCTAGCAATGATTGAATCTTGTTTTGTTATAATTAATACCTTTATATTTTGCTGATTGTTGTTGCTATATTATTGAGGATGAGAGTGAAACATATTCACAATGTTCTGATCTGTAGGAATGTAGTTCATTACATACAAATTTGTATCGGCGCCCTCAAGTCACTCTTATAAACTACATAACATTCAATGATTGACAGTTGACCTTGTAATTTTACTTGTTTATTATAAGTAAATCTAAATCATCAATTAAAACATTCAATTGGACATTGCATTATGTCATTTCTATACAAAATTTCTATACGTGTTCATTTGTTGAGTGTAGCTGGCCCTGAATCTGCATAACATGCATGGATGTTTCACAGCCATGGATATGGTAATATCTATTATTTACTAATTATGCTATTATGCTAATTTATTATGTAAAAGCCAGTTTTACCAGGGTGAAGGTAATAATTGTGCTGTGTTTCTTTTAGAGTTGATGAAATGAATGAAAGAATTGTCAGCTTGACCAATGAAAAGAAACAATTGGATGAAACTTTGGAATACAAGAACAATGAACTTGAGGTATGTTTGTAGTAGCAAACTTGTGAAGTGTGGTATTTTGCTATGAATTTCAATTGAGATAATATCACTGGATATCGCTGTCTTTCAGGTTCTCAAAGACTGTTTGTTGCAGTTGAAATCATTAGAAACAATGGATGCTGATGATGATGAAAATTCAGGTCAGTATATACATTGAGCATTCTAACTAGGCACAAAGACATGGAACAATATCAGCTTAAGAAATGGTATCCAACATGTCTCATTGTCATATGGTAGACATTTGCACATTTGTATTCATCGGGTGAGACATCTTGCATATGTCGGGTGAGACATGTTCATCTATCAGGTGAGACATGTTGCATCTATCAGGTGAGACGTGTTGCATCTGTCGGGTGAGACGTGTTGCATCTTTCAGGTGAGACGTGTTGCATCTGTTGGGTGAGACGTGTTGCATCTGTCAGGTGAGACGTGTTGCATCTGTCAGGTGAGACGTGTTGCATCTGTCAGGTGAGACTTGTTGCATCTGTCAGGTGAGACATGTTGCATCTGTCAGGTGAGACGTGTTGCATCTGTCAGGTGAAACGTACTGCATCTGTCATGTTTGACGTGTTGCATCTGTCAGGTACGACGTGTTGCATCTGTCAGGTACGACGTGTTGCATCTGTCAGGTACGACGTGTTGCATCTGTCAGGTACGACGTGTTGCATCTGTCAGGTGAGACGTGTTGCATCTGTCAGGTGAGACGTGTTGCATCTGTCAGGTACGACGTGTTGCATCTGTCAGGTACGACGTGTTGCATCTGTCAGGTACGACATGTTGCATCTGTCAGGTACGACGTGTTGCATCTGTCAGGTACGACGTGTTGCATCTGTCAGGTACGACGTATTGCATCTGTCAGGTGAGACGTACTGCATCTGTCAGAAATGACGTATTGCACCTGTCGGGTGAGACATGTTGCATCTGTCAGGTGAGAAGTGTTGCATCTGGCGAGTGAGACTTGTTGCATGTGTCAGGTACGACGTATTGCACCTGTCGGGTGAGACATGTTGCATCTGTCAGGTGAGACGTGTTGCATCTGGCGGGTGAGACTTGTTGCATCTGTCGGGTGAGACGTATTGCACCTGTCGGGTGATACGTATTGCATCTTTCGGGTGACACGTATTGCATCTGTCGGGTGACACGTATTGCATCTGTCGGGTGACACGTATTGCATCTGTCGGGTGACACGTATTGCATCTGTCGGGTGAGACGTGTTGCATCTGTCAGTTGAGACGTATTGCATCTGTCGGGTGAGACGTTTTACATCTGTCGGGTGAGACGTGTTGCATCTGTCAGGTGAGACGTGTTGCATCTGTCGGGTGAGACGTGTTGCATCTATCGGGTACGACATATTGCACCTGTCGGGTGAGACATGTTGCATCTGTCGGGTGAGACGTGTTGCATCTGTCGGGTGAGACGTGTTGCATCTGTCGGGTATGACGTATTGCACCTGTCGGGTGAGACATGTTGCATCTGTCGGGTGAGACGTGTTGCATCTGTCGGGTGAGACGTGTTGCATCTGTCGGGTGAGACATGTTGCATCTGTCGGGTGAGACATGTTGCATCTGTCGGGTGAGACGTGTTGCATCTGTCAGATATGACGTATTGCACCTGTCGGGTGAGACATGTTGCATCTGTCGAGTGAGACGTGTAGAATCTGTCAGTTCTGTTTTTGGATGACTTGAGTACGCAGCTCAGTCACCTTTAGATTAATTGAAACCAAATAACCAAATTTTTTTTCTGCTTATAATGCTATTCATAGGACTTAACATTGAAGACAAAATCAAACACATGTTGGATGTTTCCAAGGTAACTACATGTATAAATCAATATGTCAATTTTAAAATTGTTGTGATGGCAGTTGTGCATGTTAAAACATTATCTGATAGCTGATGATTTACTCATTGATTTCAGATGAATTTGCAATAACTTTGTTTTTTGCAACTAAATTTATTGTTTAAAAGACAAATGAATAATCCTGGTATGTTTAAACCTTGTGGATTTTAACTGACTGATGGTAATTTTCATCAAAGAACAATAAAAAAACAGCAAAGTATGTCAGGCATGCCTGGGCTAATTTGTTCAAACATGATATGAACAACACACATTATGTGTTACTCTCGCACGTTAGTTTGTTTTGGGATTTAAGACCATATTGGTTTCTAAAAGTTTCTAAAATAATAAGTATATAATCATTTATACATAATTTTGTATGTTCATTTTCTGTCTACTGTGAGCATAGCTCTCAATAGAAGTTTTTAACAAATTAAACTGAGGTTATTTTGCACAGCGAAGCAACAATAACTTATACTATACTAATATATTGATTGAAACTTTTGGGCATTGCTTTATTTTTAATGGATCTTCACATTTAAAACTGTTTAATAGCACCCCTAACTGTAGACAGAACCTGACTCTCTCGGATTAGTTCTAAGTGTTCTATAGACTGAAGCTGTTGAAGTTAAAGTGACTAGAGGCATGTGCGGTAAAGTAAGAGCTGTCTACTTTGAGCAGAGCTCATCATATGAGTGATTGCCCGTCATTGTCCGTGTCAGTGTTTTACTTTTTCGACTTCTTCTTGAAAACTATAAGCCTAAATGCTTTGATACTTGGTGTATATGTACCTTGGGTAGACCTCTCTTAGATTTGTTCATTTCATGACGATATCTTCAATTCAATATTCAATATTTTTGTCATTTTTGGTAAAAAGTGATATTTTCGACTTTTTGTTAAAAACTGTAAGTCCGATTGCTTTGATATTTCATATATAGTTACTATATGTGGACCTTTCTCAGATTTGTTCATTTCATGATGATATCTTCAATTCTCTAATTTTGGTGAATATTATCATAATGGTAATTTTTGGTAAAAAGTGATATTTTTGACTTCTTGTAAAAACAACAAGTCTGATTGTTTTGATACTTTACATACCGGTATTGTTCATTTTCTAATGATGTCTTCAGTTCTTTAATTGAAAGTGCATTGCTAACAGCGGAGCTATCTCAGCTGACAGGCTGCTTGTTGGCAGAGTACTAAAGCACATCAACAAATTTCTAGTAAAAAAACACAAAAAAACTAAGATTTTGGAAATTGCATGTCTCTTTTTTCATATTCAAATTGCAAGTACAAGTGCTGAAATATAGTGCATTGTGCCACAGAAACCATATTTATGCTATGCTCCAATAGTCACTGTTGTATAATTCCTTTTTCAACCCAGCTGGCTTCTCTGAATGGAGAGGCTATTACGTTCAAAAATTAATGTTTTATATAGAACTTGTACATTAGGTTTCTAGAGCTGAACTGAAAGTATTCGCATAATCAGGGAGATTAACTACATTCATATAAAATCTGAAATGTTTTTTGATGGAATGCCGAGATCCGTCAAAAGTGGTATTTCCCAAATAAGGTCATGATCTTGTAGTGCCCAAGAATTTCAATCAATATTTTACTGTAATTGATTGGGTGTAAATGCAAGTATAGTTAAAATTGGATTGCCCTTGCTGCATGTCTGTGTTTCGTAATAATGTCATGCCTTGCGTGGACCTCTGTCAAGATTTCTTTTTTCACGGGACAATTTCTGCAGTCAATTTACTGATTTCTCAATTACCAATTGTCAGGTGTTTTGGATATGTGTTTAGTTTAGGGATGAATCCTGTGCAATTGATCGCATACAAATATCTCCAGTACCACTCATGAAATTTAAATGAAACTTGGTACATTGTAGACTTGCTTATAAGTTTTATTGTTTTTGTTTTCAAATAGCAAGATGAAGAAATGTAATTGCTTGCATGTGTCCCCATAGGCACGGACTCGTTTTCTCATCAGTAATGTATCTGCATAACTGGGATCAATTTCTGGAATAGTCTGATTAAACAAAACTGAAACTACCATATTTGCAAAATATGCAGGTGACATATTTTATGTCATTGACTATGACATGTTTTCAATGCTTTATTGTGGCCTGAACCATCGTTTTTCTTTTATCACATTCAACATATTTGCACTTGTCTGTACTTATTGGTCAAACACTACCTAGTAGTAATTTCTAACTAGAAAAAAAAATGAGATCTTTGAAATGACAACTCTTGATAACGAGATTATTACAAGAATACCTCAAAGTATGCATGAAGACAGTACAGTGGAAGTATCGGCCGACGTGCAGCGGATGGTGGCAGCCATGTTTTTTTTTAATCATTCCCGTTACCTTATATGGTACATGTAGGATGACAAAAAACGTAAAATATCGCAAAATTACGGCACGCTCTGATTTATGACGTTATGGTAACAGATGTATCATTGTTATTTTTTGTATGTGCCTGTAGGTGAATGCTAAGCTGTCTATTATTGAAGAAGAAAGAAATAGTTTAGAAAGCAGGTTGCAATCAGAAATCACTTCACGGATACAGTTAGAAGGTAAACACTTGCAATGCTAATTGTATTCATGTATGTAAATATACTACTCAAAAGATATCAACTCCTTGCATCTCTTTCTTTTCTCAGACCAAATAGCCATTCTTAATAGACAAGTTGAGAGTCTTGGTAAAGAACATGGTGAAGCAGAAAAGCAATATTCAGAGGCTCAGACAAAATTAACTATATTATCAGAGTATTTCAAGGAAAAAGAACTGAAAATGCAGAGGTAATAATATAACTAGGAGGTGTATCATACATGTTGTCAGGGGTTCAATCTGTAGGCAATTACCTCATCTACTTATGAGAGCATTTCATCAGAGACTAACATCTTGTGCAAGCAAAATGCGTTAAGCTAACTGCACTGGCAGTGTTGCTTGACTTTTTATCTTGCCCTCAATGACAATGAAGTGTCAAGATGATAAATAATTTGTTATGACCAGATTAACTCATCAAGTTATTTCAAGACTCAAACTCTTACATTTCTGGAATAATCTTGATATGGCTGGCTCTTATATTTTTTGAGATTGGTGAAAAATAATTCTCATCAGTAACAAATTTCATCGAATACTTGAATTTGATGCCTGGCATTTCCAGATAACAAAGGGGCATACTATTATAATAGAGTGATGAAGACAAGAATTGCGGTGATTATATATTGAGATTTGTCTAAGTAAAACAATATCTTAACTACCCCTGTACATGAATTGTTTGGTCAATACATTGCTTCCTGAAAGCCTTCAAATGACATCAACAGACAATGTATTAATGAGTGTGTACAAAGAATGTTCTAGGTAAACTGAGTTTAAATTAATTGAACAGAAGTGAAAATATTAAAATGTCGATGCTTGTACAGTAAAGCAGCAAATGCTACTGTGGACAGCAGGAAACTGGCTTGGTGGTAATCACATCTCTGTAATGAGCTCTGCTTAATGTACAACAGATAATATCCTGTTAATTGGTGGGAGGAGCAGTTTTGTCTCAACCATGTAAATGTACAACAGATAATATCCTGTTAATTGGTGGGAGGGGCAGTTTTGCCTCAACCATGTAAATGTACAGCAGATAATATCCTGTTAATTGGTGGGAGGAGCAGTTATGTCTCAACCATGTAAGTGTACACATGGAACTATAAACCCCAGGAAGAACAACAAAACTAAGAGGATTAAAAAAACCTTTGTCTTAGTTTATCTTACGGTGCTTTCGCTTTTGTTTCCACAACATTAGTCAAACTCCATGTTAGTTGCCGCCGATACGCCGATATCAACCGCTTTGCCGGAAACGAAAAACTTGAAAAAAAAAATTTCATATCTGCGCAGTAAAATATTTCGCTCACTACGCATGCGCAAACAAGTCGGTCTGCAAGGGTGACCTTCAGTCTGCCGGAAGTCGTGCAACAGGTCGGAGTTAGCGTATTTTTCGGTGAGTTTTCATCATTTTCAATGTTGTGTTTTGATTACTTCTTGTTTTTTTCAACCCTCGAAAAAATAATGTTGCGACATTTTGCGAAACATCGGGTTTGGTATGCTGTTTGTTGTCGAGATATCCCGACTAATTCTGTGTTCCCTTCGATCGCCAGAAGTGGCAATGTGTTTTTTTTTCCCGTTGAATGTTGCTTATTTATCAGTATTTTTGTCTCGGCGCCATTGTTTTTTATTGTACTTTTATGTCTGCCATGGTGTTTACCTATGGTTTGTTTGATTTTCGATCTGGGAAAAAACAAACGAAAGGTCGGTTGGGACACGTATGACATAATTATACCCTGAGTTGTCCTATATCAACATCTTCAATAGTTCCTATATCTGCCACTGCAATATCATTTTTTTCACGATCGTCGCGACTACTTCCTGCTCGAATGAACGCCATGTTTGCTATAACCAAAACAACTCGATCACGTGATCTCCCGAAGTCGCCCGATTGACTCCGAAAATGACCGATAGTCGGAGATAAACGTTCATTTGCGTAAATCGGCTTATTTTTTAATGCGACAAAATAAACAGTCAAAATAAACATTCGACATCGCGGCAACTATCATAGTTCAAAGGAAACGAAGTCGTTGTTCTTCCTGGGGTTTATAGTTCCATGG